ATCATAATATCTAAACCAAACATTCTGTCCTTGTCTTAAAAGTGCAAAATGCTGGCAAATGCTTAACACTAGAATAATAGAAAGGACATTCTTAAGGAAGGGAAGATGAGCCAAGGTCAGGTCAGGGGAAGAAGGGTCTTTGGGAGTAGGGAGAAGGGAACTAGGAAACCCAATATTGCCTATCATCTCCTCAGCTTGGAATCTATGCTCTATGGAGATACTCATAGTAGCAGATATGTTGAAAAGGGTGAAGACTGGTATAGACAAACACTACAAAGAGTTTGGGGATCTTTTTCTCGTGTCACTTGCCAAATTATGTCTTTCCCCTAAGAGATTAAGAAAAAAACAACCTCATAGTCACAGACAACAGCATGGTGACTACCAGAGGGGAAGGGGATGGGAGCAGGTAGAAGAGGGTAGAGGAGGGATTAATGGTGGTGGAAGGAGACTTGACTTGGGGTGGTGGACACACAATACACTATAGAGATGATATAGAACACATATGAAACCTATATAATTTTTTTAACCAATGTCACCTGACAGAAGAAGGAAAAGGCACGGTACTTGGTACACATTTGGTGTTTAATGCATGTTTGTTGACTACATTAAGTCAAGATTTGGGGCTTCTTAGCAATCTTTGGGAGCCTTCATCATAAAGTGTATTGGCAATAAAATGTGTGCAATGTCTATTTAGGCAGCAAGGGGCCCTTGGAATAGATGAGGGAGGTTTTAAACTGAATTTTAAACAAAGTCATTTTTTTCCCCCATCAAGTTCCTCCCATTGTGTAATCTTACAATATTATGACATTCTTACCTCTGATCTCACTAAAGGGCTGTATTTATAGCCGATTTTATAAATTCTTGTGACTCACCCCATAAAGTCTGTCATGAGCTAGAACTTTTAAAAATGACAATGCCCCTGTTAGAGTTATGGGAGTTAAGTAATACCCAAATGTTTCCCCAGTTTTATGCTATTTATAAAATGTTAAGAAAGTGCCCTCTCTACCACCTTCCAGGTAGAGAAGTTCATGAAAGTTCCACGTAATGGACAAGATGATTATGGTGATGATGATGATGAACATGTCTTCATTGCCTGCTAAGTACAGTGGGGCCTTGACTAATGAGTGTCCTGACTAATGAGTTTTTCGAGATATGAGCCGTCTCTTGGCCGACTTTTTTGCTTTGAGTTGCGAGCTAAAATTCGGGTTATGAGCCAGCTTCAGATACCCCACCGCTAGTTGGCGCAGCGAACGTCACAGTGAATGCCACAACATCAGCCCAGCATCACGTGTCTCACTCGTTCACTTTTTGATTTGACATACAAGTAATTTGAGTTACGAGCTCTGTCAGGAATGAATTAAACTCGTAAGTCAAGGCCCCACTGTACCAGGGACTGATTTGTGCCTTATTTTTAGTCTTCACAACTCCCCCTCACCTGCCCCAGTATATGGGCATTTCATATTTGACCAGTAAAGAAACTGAAGCACAGACCAGCAGGTATAGCTCAGTAGTTGAGTATCGACCTAAGGACCAGGAGGTCACAGTTCAATTCCCAGGTCAGGGCACATGCCTGGGTTGCAGGCTCAATCCCCAGTAGTGGGCATGGAGGAGGCAGCTGATCCATGATTCCTTCTCATCGTTGATGTTTCTATCTCTCTCTCCCTCTCACTTCCTCTCTGAAAGCAATAAAAATATATTAAAGAAAAAGGAAATGCAGGCTCAGTGAATTTATTAATTATCCCAGAAATAGCAATCCTATCTAATAAAGAGGGAATATGCTAATTGAACCTCACGCCGTTGCAAAGATGGCAGCGCCCACAGCCAATAAGGAAGGAATATGCTAATTGACTGCCCTGCCTGCAAAGATGGCTGTGCCCACAGCCAATAAGGAGGGAATATGCTAATTGATTGCCCCACCCTCAAAGATGGCAGCACCCACAGCCAATAAGGAGGGAATATGCTAATTGACTGCCATGCCCTCAAAGATGGCGGCGCCCAGTCCCCTTAGCCCCACTGGGGCTGTAGGCATGCAGCAAGGCCAGGCCCGTCTGGCCTCTCCACATGCCTGCTTCCAGAGATCCCCAGTCCCCTCAGCCCCCCAGCCGCCCAGGGCTGCCTGAGGCTCAGGTAACCAGGACCAGCTGAGGCTTGTGCTGCTGGCAGTGGCAGCAGCAGAAGTGTGATGGAGCGTCCTCTTCCCCTAATCTCCGGGTTGCCTACCACCCCAGAGGGCTCCCGGACTGTGAGAGGGGGCAGGCCAGGCTGAGGGACTCCCCCTCGAGTGCATGCATTTTCATGCACCTGGCCTCTAGTATATAAATAATGGAGATAGAGTTTATTCCAAATTTGAGATCTGCATGATACAAATTTAAATAAGAAATTCAACAAACAACTTAAAACAAAAAAACACCTTCCACAACCCTGTCACTGCCCCAGTGCTTCCTCTGGGCCAGAAGTCCCAGGCAATTTCTACACATCCATCAAATCGCCAAGGAGCCTGTTTCAGATTTGGGTTCCATGGGTACCAGAGATTCGGCTGATTCTCCTTTGTGGTGGCCTCAGGGAAATTGGTTGACGCATGAATGTGTGAAATATAAGAAGTGAGATAATACAATTACTATAGTCCAAAGTTTATTTATGAATATGATGCCGAAGTGATAATTAATCCTCCAGACATTTCTTAGCTCTTTTAAGAGTCAGAGTCCACATGATATGTGAAGCAAAACACATTTCAAGTTATTTTACAGTTGAACTTGGGACCTCATTGGTCTCATCACTAATCCCCCAGAAAAATGGCTTTTGGTCTCCTTTTCGTAATACAACAGATCGAAGTGCTTTGCAGTGAGCACTTTCTCAGGCTCAGGATGTTGTCCAGAGTACTGATAATCCATATATATATGCCTCTGGGTTCTTAAATCCTTTCTGAATTTCTCCAAACATCCTGGGGTAAGGTGTGGGGTAGGTGTATAGTGCCTGGTATATAGATGTAAGTCAGCTTCTTAGTGTTCCTTTGTAGCTCTTCATTGAATCAGGAGTTATAATTTCATTATACAATGTTTTCTCAAGGAATTTAGCAATAAATTATTGCCAATAAAATTAAGTACTTTTTAATATTACTCCAAACTGTTAAATGATGCTTGTCTTTGGTGTGAAGGATTTAACATAAATGCCTTTTTCCCTGGTGTTTGCATCTGATATAAAGGATAGGGATACCATTTTTAACAAAAAAAAATTTGTTCAAAGGAGAAAGGAATAATCTATCTATCTATCTATCTATCTATGAATCTATCTATGTATCTGCCTACTCATCTATCCATCTATCTATCTTGTCATCTATCTGTTGTCACAATTAGATATAGAAACAAGTAAGGAGATGTACATAAATAAGAAGAGATGCATAATAAACTGTTTGCAATGAAATCCACTAAAATATTAACAATACAAAACTGTACCCGTAAAACTGTGGGAAATTTATTTTTCCCTTAGTTTCTTATAACGTAGTTTCAACTTGATTATATAATAAATGTTCATAAAAATGTATAAAAAGTAAAATATGCCCAACACCAATAGCTGCGAACCAGATGTCCTATTTAGGGTCAATGGGTATCAGTGAATGGAGAGATTTTATGGGCACTTCCTAGGAAGCCACCTTAACCATAAACTCTTCCGGCTGTCCTTCCTCCTAAAATGGGATTGTCCGTGACCTTTGTCTTGTTTGGGCTGTGTTATGGAACAGCATAGACTGGTGGCCCAAACCACAGCAATGTATTTCTCACAGTTCTGGAGGCTGGACGTCCAAGACCAGGGCACCTACAGATTCGGTGTCTGGTGAGAACCAGATTCCTCCTTTGCAGGTGGTTGTCCTCCTGCTCTCTCGCTGGCAGAAACCAGAGAGGGACCCTGTGTCAACTTTTAAAAAAAGGGGCATTAATTTCATCATGAGGGCCCCACACCCATGACCTAATTATAATTATCACCCAAAGAATTACTTAGAAATTCTACCACATTGGGAGTTAGGATTTTAACATATGAGTTGCAGGGAGACACAAAAATTCAGTTCATAATGCCCTTCTTCGGGCCTTTATTCTATCCTGTTTCAGTTCACTTCACTGCTTACCTATGGGCCAATTTTTGTAATTATACCTTGTGTTTCTGATATTTGACATTTTGTAGTGAAAGCACAGATCTTGATTTATAAAGTGGATATTGATAAATGCTATGGAAAACGTAATTCCTATGTAATCTTAATACTCAGTACACCAGAGAAGCAGTTGGCTCTAGACACAAAACACCATAATACTGTCTTATCCAAAAATTTTCTCAATATAGGAACTGCTAACAAGTCCATTTAAAATTTTTAATTTCATAGAATCTAGTATTATAAATCTATTAAAAGATCTCCTCCAACTTTTAAAAATGATTACTAGAGAATCAGTAACTGTCTGATTTCTATGGACAGAGGCTGATAGAAAGCCTAAATATATACTTAATATATATACTGTATAGAAATAAACACAAAACAAACCAGCAAAAACAAACACACACACGTTGGCTAGTCCAATGGAAGTTTAACACAAACACCCATTTCCTCTGAACGGCCATAAATTACCCACTGCCCGGCCCCATCCTGCTCTGGGCTTGCGTTCATCGTCTTAGATGATATTTTGTGGCAACTGCTAATTACCATAAGCTGTCCAATAAATGTGATGGATTGTCCAATTAACTCTTCATCAACATCCATTTCTGAAGATGCTGCCCATTGAAACCCGTGGCGGTGTCTGACCTCCTTGTTGCATAGGTAGCTAATTACCCCTTGGACAGTCATTATCAAGTTTCTCGTGCCTCGTCCAGTCATTTGGTTTTGCAAATGACGATGCCGCTGAGTTTCCCAATTCATTTGACTTCATGATGATGGCTCTCTGAGGATGACTACAGGTCTGCTGTGGGCTGTCTGGATCACGTGAGCACAGAAATAGATTACAGATCTATCTGTTTTGTAGGTTTTCCATCGACCGGCACACTGACCTGGAGAGGCAATTCAACATTAACGCAGATGATGGGAAGATAACGCTGGCAACACCGCTTGACAGAGAGTTAAGTGTATGGCACAACATAACGATCATTGCTACTGAAATTAGTAAGTGCCTGGGTTTATTTATTTTCCTTGTGTGACTGGGTTCACTTTGTGTCTAGTGATCACATGATAAAGGGTCAGTAGAGAGTTGGGCATTGGAAATTAATTTATGATTCCCAAGGAGCCTTTGATGAATCATCTCAGCAAGAAATAACTTACATTGTGTTAACTTACCAAAGGTTGCAATATTCTTATATCCAAATATTATTATAACCTATATCCATTATTCAACCATTAAAAAACAATGCTGTGGCCAAAACCAGTTTGGCTCAGTGGATAGAGCGTCGGCCTGCGGACTGAAGGGTCCCGGGTTCGATTCCGGTCAAGGGCATGTACCTTGGTTGCGGGCATATCCCCAGTGCGGGGTGTGCAGGAGGCAGCTGATCGATGTTTCTCTCTCATAGATGTTTCTAACTCTCTATCCCTCTCCCTTCCTCTCTGTAAAAAATCAATAAAATATATTTTAAAAAAAACAATGCTGTGCATGTTAAAATATGAGGGAAGATTTAGTATAATAGGGTGGGTAATAAATAGAACTACAGGACTATACACTATAATTAAAATAGACACTAACAGCCCTAACCAGTTTGGCTCAGTGGATAGAGCGTCGGCCTGCGGACTCAGGGGTCCCAGGTTCAATTCCGGTCAAGGACATGTACCTTGGTTGCGGGCACATACCCAGTGGGGAGTGTGCAGGAGGCAGCTGATCGATGTTTCTCTCTCATCGATGTTTCTAACTCTCTATCCCTCTCCCTTCCTCTCTGTAAAAAAATCAATAAAATATATATTTTTTTCTAAAAATAGACACTAAAATATCCTATATCCAATATAGAAACTATTGCTCACATATTTGAGCCTCACACATGCGTATACACATATATAGGCTGAAAATATAGACAGAAACCTCACCCTATCAATACATGTTAATTTGAAGAGATGAAATTATACATGGTTTTTATGTGTGTTTTTTAGAGTTTAGTGTATTTTACACATTAATTATAGACTGTCTAAAACTGTATGTTCAATAAAATTATTTTTTCATAAATTACATGCAAAAATGTAAACCTTCCAGGGTTGTTAAAATAACCTATGTTGGTCTTTCCATTTTTTTTTTATGCCTAACACTTCTTTGATTGCACTTAATGACACTACTCTTGAGTCTCTAAAGAACAGCTAGATGGTGACATTAGTGCTACACTGTCTTTGAGAACTTACACTCTGTCTTACATTTTTATTATGCAAAAACATGCAAAAGAGACATGATGTTCATTTCATTTCTAAACAAAGCATATTCTGCCTATTATCCAAATCTCTTCTTCCCATAAAGGACCTGGTCACAGAGATTCAAGGAAGCATTCAAATCTTGAGGGAGCTGGGAATCTGAATAAGGAAATACAAACTGACAGGAAGCAAAGTTCCTGGGCAAACATACAACATAGAGTGTGTGTAGATGGTACTTACAGGGGTGGGACCTCACTTCTGCTCCGCGCTCTCTCTACAATCTGCTCTTTGTTTTCACAGTGTGAATGCAGGGGAAATATCTCTGAGATACATGATCAATTTGTTCGTACAGGTGAAAGTGATCTAGAGCCAGTGGTCGGCAAACTCTTTAGTCAACAGAGCCAAATAGCAATAGTATAACGATTGAAATTTCTTTTGAGAGCCAAATTTTTTAAACTTAAACTATATAGGTAGGTACATTGTTATTAACTTAATTAGGGTACTCCTAAGGCTTACGAAGAGTCACACTCAAGGGGCCAAAGAGCCACGTGTGGCTCGCGAGCCGCAGTTTGCCGACCACGGATAGACCGTTAGGAAGGGCATGGGGTTTTCTTGTTCTGAGATGTGGGAAAATGTCCTCCATGGCACTTGTGCATGGTTCTTTGATAATTTAAGGTTAGAAGAGTCATTATAAACAAAACACACACACACACACACACAAAACAAAAAACAGGAAAAAAAACCCTAACCAGTTGGCTCAGTGGATAGGACATCAGCCCATGGACTGAAGGGTCCCGGGTTCGATTCTGGTCAAGGGCATGTTCCTCATTTGCAGGCTCATCCTCAGTCCTGGTCTGGGCATGTGCATGTGTGGGAGGCAACCAATCGATGTGTCTCTCTCACATCAAGGTTTCTCTCTCTGTCTCTCCCCATCCCTTCCACTCTCTAAAAATCAATGGAAAAGTATCCTCAGGTGAAGATTAACAAAGCAAACCAAAAAAATAAAAGTAAAAAATAAAACAGCACTGGGTGAAAAAGTGAAGATTCAAGAGAGAAGGGTGCCTGTTTCTTATCGCAACCTCAAGTGCAGGCGCAGAGCCTGCCGTCAAGTTGTTAACGTTGCTTGGACAATACCAGATTGATGGGCCTGGGGAGGGATGAGCTTTGGACCCTCGGGTGTTTTTCCTGGATTTTGTGTGCCCTTGTCTTCCCTGGCGTGTTCCTCGGCCAGAGTGTCCCAATAATCTGTTGAGAGACCCATAAAGGAAGGCATGGCACCCGGCTGGTGTGGCTCAGTGGTTGAGTATCGACCTCTGAGCCAGGAGGTCATGGTTCCATTCCCAGTCAGGGCAGGTGCCTGGGTTGTGGGCTCCATCCCCAGTGTGGGGTGTGCGGGAGGCAGCCTATCAATGACTCTGCCTCATTGTTGATGTTTCTCTCTCTCTCTCCCTCCCCTTGTAACTGTAAGGGTACAGCACACACAGCGCACCATCGGTGGCGTTGACTCGCCAGCAGTGTTCACCCCGTCTAGAGGGGCACAGGCGTGCAAGTTTGTCATTTGCAGTGTTGACGCTGCATTATCACCTTAAGCCTCTGAGAAAACCCCTATCTGTTTAGATTGGTTTGAAGCTTTCTAGAAATACTCAGAGGGATCACCGATTTCTCTAAAGTAGGTAGATAGTAATTACTTCTTAAAGCACTGCCTTGTCTATTGAACACACCCTACTTGAGGTAGCCATCAGCCAGGACACGTTTTTTATGAGCTGGATACCTTCACTTAAATATTTATCAAGGACGCTGGTGCTGAGGCTCCGCGGACTCTGCTTTAAGGAGGAAAAAGATGTGAATACGCAGAGCTGCGGCTGAGACACTTCAGGGGCAACCCAGACACAAAAGATTCATCTGCAAGGAATTACAGAGGAGTAAGCAGACAGACAGGAAAGCAGATGCTTCAGGGTAATGAGCTGGGGAGCCAGGCGGATGCGGGTACCAACCCAGTCAGAAGACATGCATGTGCTCACTCACTCAATCATCATTAATTGAGCTGTTACTCCTTGCCAAGCAGCCTTCT